GGCAAATGCAGTCACACGCACATGTCGGCTGCCCTCAAAACAACATCATCCCTGCAAAGGTTCAAGGGGCCTTAAAGGAGGGGAAAGAATAGGGTGACCCTCAGAACCTGCCCCTGCAGCTCGGAGATTCTTAGCAATCATCATCATGCAGCGGGAATTATTATGATGCTGCGTCGTGGTTCGTAGCCGTGGTGTGCTATCTGGGTTCTATGCTGGTGTATTTTTTTTTAAATGGCAAAGTCTTCCTTCGCGTTATGACACTCTAGTTTTTCCTTCATCCCCTGTCAGATATGTATAAGTTTGCTGATGTGCTTTGTTGCCTCCTTCGTAATGGTAATGAATGTTTTAGTGTTGTTGGTCACCAGTTGCATCAGTTGCTAACTGGGATAACTGTTTTAGTGCTGACGAGCTGCATGAAAATCGAAACAGTTAAAACAGTTAAAACAGATATTTTTCAGGGCTGAAAGCAGTTAAAGCAGTTAAAACAGTTGTATTTTTTAGGGATTTCCTAGCTTTTGCAAGTCAACAGTTGTAGGAGACATAATGTTGTGCAATTATTGATATATTTGCACAGATAACTGCTAAATAACATTGAAACCTTGTATACACGCATAGAAATTATGAGACTTTGATGTTTGCAGGCGGCAGTTGCCGCTCGAGCCATCCCACGAGTTTAGACACCACAGAGATTTTTCACCAGCTACTGCTGCTCACCTACTGCCTTTGTGTCCTGCCATACCACGAGTTTAGACCAGGGAGATTTCTCACCAGCTACTGCTGCTCACCGACTGCCTTTGTCCCACGAGTTTTGGCCAGGGGGATTTCTCACCAGCTACTGCTGCTCACCTACTGCCTTTCAAATTTGCATTCTGCCATCCCACCAGTTTAGACAAAACAGATTTCCCACCAGCTACTGCTGCTCACCTACTGCCTTTGAAATTTGTATCCTGCCATCTCACCAGTTTAGACCAGGGATATTTCCCACCAGCTACTGCTGCTCTACTGCAATTGAAAATTGTATCCTGCCATCCAACCAGTTTAGACCAAACAGATTTCCCACCAGCTACTGGTCCTCACCTACTGCAGTTGAAATTTGTATCCTGCCATCCCACCAGTTTAGACCAGGGAGATTTGTTGCCAGCTACTGCTGCTCACCTACTACCCTTCAAATTTGCATCCTGCCATCCCACCAGTTTAGACCAGGGAGATTTCTCACCAGCTACTGCTGCCCACCTACTGCCTTTGCAACTTGTATTCTGCCATCCCACCAGTTTAGACCAGGGAGATTTCCCACCAGCTACTGCTGCTCACCTACTGCCTTTCAAATTTGCATTCTGCCATCCCACCAGTTTAGACAAAACAGATTTCCCACCAGCTACTGCTGCTCACCTACTGCCTTTGAAATTTGTATCCTGCCATCTCACCAGTTTAGACCAGGGATATTTCCCACCAGCTACTGCTGCTCTACTGCAATTGAAAATTGTATCCTGCCATCCAACCAGTTTAGACCAAACAGATTTCCCACCAGCTACTGGTCCTCACCTACTGCAGTTGAAATTTGTATCCTGCCATCCCACCAGTTTAGACCAGGGAGATTTGTTGCCAGCTACTGCTGCTCACCTACTACCCTTCAAATTTGCATCCTGCCATCCCACCAGTTTAGACCAGGGAGATTTCTCACCAGCTACTGCTGCCCACCTACTGCCTTTGCAACTTGTATTCTGCCATCCCACCAGTTTAGACCAGGGAGATTTCCCACCAGCTACTGCTGCTCACCTACTGCCTTTGAAATTTGTACCCTGCTATCCCACCAGTTTAGACAAAACAGATTTCCCACCAGTACTGCTGCTCACCTACTGCCTTGGAAATTTGTATCCTGCCTTCCCAGTTTAGACCAGGGATGTTTCCCACCAGCTACTGCTGCCATCCCACCAGTTTAGACCAAACAGCTTCCCCACCAGCTACTGCTGCTCACGTTTATTTGTATCCTGCCATCTCAGGGAGATTTCCCACCCTATCATCCCACAAGTTTGGACCAGGCAGATTCTCTACCAGCTGCTGCTGCTCATCTATTCCTTTTGTGCCTGCCAAGTTTAGGCCTCACCAGCTACTGCTGCTCATCTGCCTTGTAAACAAATTGGAACTTTGAGCACCGAAAAAAACCCACGACGCGCCACGACACCACGACACTTTCAGAAAACTGGCCCGGATCATAGCTAGAGGGATGTGTCCTAGAGGAAAAGTAGTAGCGACACACCCACGACACACCGCGAAAAGCGCGCGGCCCAGAAAACCCACGACACGCCGCGACACACCACGACACAGTTTGTATTTTTCAGAATTTGTGTGATGTGTCGTGGTGTGTCGTGGTGTGTCGTGGGCTTTCTGGTCTTCATGGCCCTTTGCAGAAGCCTGTGTGTCGCTGCTACTACTTTTCCTCTAAGAGACATCTCTCTAAAGTGTCGCGGTGTGTCGTGGCGTGTCGTGGGTTTTTTTCGAGACTCAAAGTTCCATGTGTTTTGCCGACAATTTTGGACAGGGGGCAGATGAGCAGCAGTAGCTGGTGAGAAATCTGCCTGGCCAAAACTTGTGGAATGGCAGGGTACAAAGGGAGTAGATGAGCAGCAGCTGGTAAGAGAATCTGCCTGGTCCAAACTTGTGGGATGACAGGATACAAATTTCAGAGGCAGTAGATGAGCAGCAGTAGCTGGTGGGAAATCTCCCTCGATGATACAATTCAGGAAATATAGTCTCCCCCTTGTTATGACGAAGCAATGACAGCCCTTCATCAGCCGGAAATGGGATCACCGCCAAGTGCGAAAAAGCCTTTTGAGATGGTGACTCCTTTAACGCGATGGACGAACTCTCTCAAATCGTCGACCGGGTTCTGAAGCGGTGTATCAGTGACCCTCTCAAAGAGGTCGGCAGCCGCCATACGGAACTGTTCGCTCTTGTTCCCGTACCCGTCGAAGCTCGCCGCTCCCGCGCAAAGTATGCAACGATCGCGACGACCGTTGTTGACAAGATCTCCCTCCCTCCCACGCTTGCGTTGGTCGCAGAGGTATTCCGGCGCATCGCCCACGTGGACCGCCGAGCCGGGCGTGCAGCCACGGAGTTCCAACGCGATCGAGTTCACCTCTATTAACGTCCAAGACTTCTTGGCCCGAGATTCTCGGCCATGCGCTCCTTCAACTCCTCTGTCACGAGCTCAAAACGGAAGCTTGACGACTCCAGTCCGCTCACCTCTGTAGATCTCATGATCTCCTTCTCCTTCTCCGACAGATGAGATCTTATCCTCGATCTCCCAGACGGTCTGGGACTTCAGCATTGCGGAAGACAGGATTCGTTCTCGGGCGAGTAGTCTGTTGAGGACATACCACATCAGACCTTCGGTCTCCGCTGTTAATTTGCCCCCCCCTCCAGAACGCTTGGGATTTGAATATCTGGCGGCTTGACGCCCTACAACATCTTTGCGTAGTACGTGCGAGAGACTCAGGAACCACAGGAACGATGCGCAAGACGAACTTGATGAATTGACCGAACGGTACGATGAGCTAGTGAAGGACCAATCACGCTGCCCAAGTTTGGGGTCACGAAAAGGGTCCACTTCACCCGTCAAGCCGGCAACCTCCACCGATGCGGACACTGAGACTAAGATTCCAACTGGACATGTGGCAGGGGAAACTACTGTCAAACGTGTTGGCAGGATGCGGCGATCCCGCCTAGCGCCAGTATTCTGCAGATCGGAACCCGGACAAGTGCCTTTCAATTTGGCCTGCATGGTCGATTCTTCTTGTTTCATTGAGTCTCGAAGACGTTCGTTCTCATGATTCAGCTTGATCCTCAAGTCCTAGAACCCTCTCTGTAAGCTTCCTGCCTCATCGGATTCCAGGTCTTTGACAGACAATTGTAATGATGCACATTCCTCCTTCAGTGCCTGATCATGCTGCTCTGCAGCCTCGTTCATCTGTACTTCTGCCTTCCTCTGTGCTTTCCGCGAAACATCATCAAGTTCTTGATCCGCCTTCTGGGGTCACTTGGGGAACCCCTTGGGGAGGATGACTTCTCTCCTTTACGAGATTTTCGGATTCTTGTCCGTCCATCATCTTCATCTGACGGTACTCTCGATCGGGAGGAAGTCCTTGCTCCCATGGTCAACGCCGGCATCACCTTGCTGGCTAGCTGCCGCGGGCCCAGCACTCACAACGATAGTCCGGCAGCAGGTGCCGCGAATGTAATCGAAGATCTCCCGTCAGACATCGTCACGTAAGTGTTGTACCACTTGGCAATAAATCGAATGATTCAATATGAAGCTGGGTTCAAGGCCTCTAGCTTCGAATCAATCTTTGTCTCACAGCACGTGGGGCAAGCCCGGCTGATAACCTGAGAAACCGAGGGGTTTCTTTGATACCCTGACAACACAGGTTGTGTTGTCCCCCCGGATAGAGGCGGGAATTCAAATATCCTCGAAACAGCGCTCGATCCGCAAGCTCGATCTTTTGTGTCTATGCCAGCTATGATCCGCAATCAAGGTTATGGATCTAAGCTAACAGTTGAACCGTGAGCCCAATGGTTGCATGTTCACACTCTTTGTGATGTTGCCAGTATGTAGCTGGGAGTTTCCAAGAACTCCAGAAAATAAGGTGTGGTGAAGCTTGGGTTCAGCGCGCTATGGCGCCCAATCCTGAATGGGACTCTTGAACATGTTCAGTGAGGTTCTGAATACGACAAGGACTTGTGGGGTCTCACTCTGGTTGGTTGATAACATGCCCAAATGTGGAGGTAGAAAGCGAGAAGCACAGTCCAAGGCAGTGACATCTTGAGTTTCGCTGGCACTTTTCGTCCTTATGCGATTGAATATGGGATTGAATGGCCTCGATCGACATCAACGAGGAGTGAGGAATAACACTTTGTCAAAATAGCGGCAAAAATCCTAAAAATATCTACCGCTTGCGCTTCTGCGTGGAAACCGTTTACGGCTGATGCAAATGCGCAAACTCCTACGCTACGCACGAGCTGCTCTCACAGTCCGGCTTGTACGCCTCAAGGACGGCGTGGGGCGTCCAAAGGTCACAGTTGTGACGCAAAGGATTTTGGAAGCCGACCGCCTTGAGAAACTCCTCCACCTGGCCCATGGACCATATGTATCCCCCAGAGCTCACCGGGATACTCTGGAAGTACACGCTGTCCAAGCCTGCCCACTCAGGGCCGTCCAGGTCATCGTTGGCGAAGCTGTTAAAGATCACGATGCCACCCCCGGGCGGAAGCATGTCAAAGGCCTTCTTGAACACCTCTAACAGGATCTTCTTGGACCAAATCACCGACTGATGCATGAAGAGCACAGCGTCGTGGCTCTTTGCATCCGGCCAGGGGTCACTGAGGAAGCTGCCTGCCCGCAGCCCAATCCGAGCGTCCAGGCCGGCACTGTGGATCAGTGCCTTGGGGATGGCCACTGTCTCGTGCTGGTCCCACAGCGTCAACTCCAGCTTTGGGAAGTTATTTGCCATGTGGATGGCACCGTGTCCAGCGCCTGGGCAGATCTTTCTTAAGCCCGGTCACTTCCTTGCCAAGCAAAACACACAAAACCCCAGCTTGCCTCCGCCAACATCAAGCATTTTCTTCGCAGACCTTGCCACTGCAGAGACATTGGACACACAAGGAACCGAGTAGGCAGTGAACGAGTTCATCAAATCGTAGAAGATCTTCTGCGCCCCAGGTGTATCAGGCAGCCTGGCGTACAGGTTGTCTGCAGTGCCTGGCCACTCTTGCAGCCCCACGTTTGTGTCCTGCTTCAAGGACTCCACATAGTGGAACTCCCCCTTGTACTTGATGATGCCTTCGAGGTCGATGAGGTCTGCAATGGTTTTCCAGCCCCCGGACACCAGCAATGCCTCAATGACGGGGCAGTTTCGGTATGTCTTGTCGCGATTGTCCAAAAGGGTGAGGCCGAGTGATGTGGTGCCCAGAAGCAGTGCGTCAATGGGCCGTGTGCTGCCATCCAAGCGCTTCAGGCCAAGGGCTTGCTCGATGACCGTCTTGGTCTGCTGTCCCTTATGAAGAAATTCAAAGAGACCCAAGCGGCTCCCAGCCAAGATGATCTGTGTCTTCGCGTGGCCCATGATGACCGAGTTCAACTCTGTTAGGGTTGTCAATCCCTTGCCGTTTCCAGGCAAATCGTATTTGTCTGCAGGAGCCCGCCAAATGCTGGAGTCGATGTCTATGGTCTGTCCGCTGCATCCAGGATTGTCTTTTGGACACAAGGAAAACGCGAACACCGGAGCACTCAGCAGCATCAAGGCCGCAAGAGTCAACATATCTCAAACTAAAATGACCCTTCAGACTCCAAACAAAGGCACAACCTGGAGCAAAATGCTAAGGCCAGGACTGACATCTGCATCAGTTTTCAATCACCTCTAGGATGCCTGAAATGCTGCTGCCAATGTGAAAAGTCATGTTGCTTGGCTGTGGGGCTGAGGCAGCATGGCTGGGAAACCGCAGAGCGCCTTTCTGCAAGTGCTCAAATTGACTGCCGTCGAAAGCGTATTTCCCGCTCCCTCCGTCAAAACCTTCTGCACATCTCAAAATCCGGTCAAAAATGTTGCTTGTTTCGTTCCGCCCATCCCAAGGTTCGACTAGTCAAGCTCTATGTGCGCTGGCGGCGAACGCTGCAAACAAAGAAGCCCATTTCCAAAAAATCGGATGAGTAGATTTCTTTCAGATTTCTACCCTACGAAGGGGAGTGTAGGGCAGATTCTTGTCACCACAGTTCTTCCAGCGGCTTCCCCATCAGCTTGGCAAAGTCCTGATTCCGAACCTGGGGCACACCATCGGAATCGTGCACAAGAACAAGCAGAACAAGCCCCAAACTCGAAACCTCCTTGCAATTGTCAAACAGATTGTCTCCACTTTCTCTCCTGGAAGTACGCTTCCAGCAAGGACCGGTCAGCCTGGGAGAGCTCGGCAGTTTGCGCCTCCTCCTCAAGGGCGATGTCCATGACATCCTGGGGGTGGATCGTGGTCAAATCCGGCAGCGGGATGTCGGGGAGGTCCAGGAAACTAAAAATGCGCCTCACTGTGCTTTCGGTGTCTGCTGCCAGGTCCTCGCAAAGGAAATCAGCGTTTTCAATCCCTGAATTTTGGCTTCCCGTGACAAAGAGCTCCATTGGAGAAACCCCCAAATGGACCTTGGGGTGGAGATCATCAGATCTGGAAGAGCATCCTTGAAGCGGATGATCAACACGTTTTCAGGCTTGAAGCGGCGGTAGAACTCCAGCAGAATGTCTGCGTAGTGAAAGCCGCGGATCATCCTTGGTACATCAATAGTGAAGCGCAAGGCAATGGGACCTGACCCGATTTTCTGAGGTATTCTCCCTTGAAATTCCCTGACCAAGAGGAACTGGGAACCTTAAAAAGATGACCTCATGCTGTAAGTCTCCCTGCAATTTCTCAACGGTGATTAAAAAACAGCGCCTGACCAAGCGTCGACGAGCAGAGCACGCAGCGCGCCAAGCCCAAAGTGATGGCCACGGATTCGTTTCGGTCCAGCGCAGCCGCCAGGTCCTCGAGATTTTGCCACTCCACAGAGGTGCTCAAACCCATCTCCAGGTCATACCTCAGTCACTCAGTCTCCGAACCCCTGAAGTATACAGGTTAACCATGGTTAACCTTCTTTTGGAAAATTGTTCAGGTTGGGAGCAAACTTGCAGCGCTAACCCGCCAAGCAAGGTGTCAAAAGCGTACCTCACCAGGCTGTATCGTTTACACCACGAGCAACAGAGGGAGAAACCCAGCGAAACCCAGCCAAAATAACCTACGGAAACGCGCTCACATCAGCTCACAAAAAACGGGGAGGGGGGGGAAGGAGCGTATTTAGCGCCAAGGCCACATGTCCCGGAAGCTCAAGTGATGTTCTCCGCGGCCCTTGATCCGGGACCTCATCTTGTACATGGAGAACACCCCGCTGCAGGGTTCTCGGCACGAGAGGATAATCTTCGCGTTGGGCGTAAGCTGCTTGTACATGGCCGCCGCAAGCGCTGGCTGCAGTGAGGCTGTGGCGTCACTGTCAAAGGTAAGGCAACCACGGCTTCCCCACCAAGTAGGGAAAAGAGATCGATACAAGAGGCCGGACAGACGGCTTCCGCACATCCCGGACAGAAACCGAGATTCCTTCATGAAAGGCTCCTTCACTGCAGGGTGCAAGCTCAGATATGAATACAGCGCGCTGGTGCCAGCCTTTGGTGCACCAATTATGTAAAAGTCCGGAAGACGGCGAATTGGACTTGTGGCGAAGCGAAACAGCCGCTGCAGGGTCAACCAGTGCGCCCGCAGCGTCCGCCATGGGGCGGGGTACGTGCCACGAAAGCTTGGAAAGGCCTCGCGCGGGTTTCACACGAAAGGCTTGACGTGGGCAAATCCACCGAACTTCGATTCAATGTCCGCTGCGGAGTGACAAAGCACAAAAGAGGGGTCAACAACCAACAAACAAAATCCGCAATGTTGCTTTCCGACACTATGTTTGTTTGACCGGGTTGCCTCGAACTGCCAGCTCCATATCCACCAGTGGAAAACCACGTGCGCAAGGCCAAGAGCGGCGGCTGGCGCCAGCCACATCTTCGCAGCCATGTGCTTCCCGGAGTGCGCCGGACGGCAATGCTAGTGTGAGCAAACCAACAAGGTGGCCTAACAACACTGAGTTCAAACAGGGGTTACCCCACTATTGTTCTAAAAAACAAGTCCTAGGGCACACGCGGAACCCTCCCCTAATTTTTATAAGCCTTTTCGGGCGCAACCCAACACAAAGATGCGCAAGCAGTGCGTTTTCATAGAACTGGCTTGCCCTGGGCATATGGGAACCAAAAACTTGTTTTTATCAGCGGCATCCCCGGGCCAATTGACCTGCGAATTGCAACGGCTAGGTGCGTTGTTGTGCTTTGCAGGTTTTAGTGTGGAGCTCGAAGATTTTTGGGGGAGGGGGGGCCAGTCACCCAGTGCTCCAATCCGCCCTTTCCACGTCAGCCGAGTCAAGTCGAGAACCGCTTCGCGTCATGTAAGTGTAGTTCCTAGCCTGAGCTCGATGGAAGGTAAACAGCCGGAATTCAAGCGGAAAGCCGCGCCACGCCGCGCCATTTTTTGGGTCCGCTATTTTAGCACATACCACTTTCAGGAATTCAGTTGGACACTCAAGAGCGTATCCGGCCCAAATATGCTTTCCCCGGCCTTCAACAAACACTCTGCCCTTCAATTCCAAACGCACAAAAATGGGGGGGAAGGACAACCCTCAGTTTCACATGTTTTTGCGCCTTTAACCACTGCTGAGAACAAGCAAGCTAAATCAGGCCGGCCTGAACCCTACCCATTTGCCTTCAAGGTGTAACGCGGGATCGAGAAATTCCCCCTAGACAAATTGCAAGTGTGAAAACCCACGCCGGCTGGTTCAATTTCTACTTTTCTTCAACGTACAATTTTCTATTTTTGTCGAGCGGCAGCGGACTGTTTTGATTCCTTGGCAATTAGAGCCTGTGCGGCGGTCGGTTCAACCTTGACAAGTACTTCAATCTCATGCCGTGGGTGTGACTGGAAGAGGGAATCATTCTGACATGCTGCCTTCAAATCCACAGCACTTACTGCATTTCGTGTACTGCCTTGCGCTCTTAGTTCCAGATGGGGCTATCCGGATTGCTTTGTTCCTATACCTGGGCTTTCTCGGCTTCGTGGCACTCACCTCCGGCTCGCTGTCAGTCGCGTCCGGAACGCCCTTCACGGGCCTATGCACCTTTTTTGTTGATCTCCCTGAAGAAAAGCCATACAGGCCTTTGACCTCCAATCTACGATCCAGAGCATCTTTTGACAACGGGCCTGAACTGCAAGGTCTCCGTCTCTCACAGTTCTGCACTGTCATCTCTTTTCCCAAGGTCGCTCCTCGCTGGTGTCTTCTTGCGCCCACCAATCTTGATGTCAATGTGCTTGGGGTCCGGCCAAATCACATAGCCTTCGCCGGTCCTGTCGATCTTCTTCTTAAGGTAGCCAGCTGGTTGGCAGCCTGTGCTTGAAACTCCCTCCCTCCAACATCAATCTCTCTCACCTAGAAACTCCGTGCCAACCATCAATAGGCCTTCTTGAACCTCATCAAGGTTGGCTGCATCAATCACGTCATCCTCCATGCCAAACTCACGCGCTGCGTCTCTAGAGTGCATAAACCACCATTGGCAGCTCTCATCCACCAAAAAAGCGGTCCACAGAGGTCGTCCGACAGAGTGCTTCTCCTCCAGGTAGCGCATGATGGAAACCGCTGATTCGCAGATCGCTTCTGACGCAGAGACCCACACATGCAATCTGTGAAAAAGCTTCAGCACATGCCAAAAATGTCTGGCTTGCGTGTAATTCAGCTGCACGATCAGACTATGCGTTTGAAAGCTTCTGACTTCTTGAACTTCTCCGCCGCACAGGCGGGTTTTAAAATCCGGACGGCCACATTGCAAAACACAAGGAACTGCTCCTGCAGCTCTGGCTCAAACGGCTGCGCAACATCTCCTTTCGCACAGCACCTGGCTGAAGACCGCACCGCAGAAATCGCAAAAAACCTCGAGTTTTTGCACCTCGACCACGCCGATCCCCGCAGGGTGGCGCGTGAACTTGAAAAATCGCAAAAAACCTCGAGTTTTTGCACCTCGACCACGCCGATCCCCACAGAGGGTCGCGCGAGCACCGCAGAAATCGCAAAAAACCGAGTTTTTGCACCTCGACCACGCCGATCCCCGCAGAGGGTCGCGCGAGCCGCAGAAATCGCAAAAAAACCTCGAGTTTTTAAGAAGAGATTTTACCTCCTCGCAAGTCAATTGCACTTGACTCCTTGCACTTGCAACTTGCACTTGACTCCATGCGCTCGCAACTTGCACTTGACTCCTTGCACTTGCAACTTGCACTTGACTCCTTGCGCTTGCCACTTGCACTTGACTCCATGCACTTGCAACTTGCACTTGACTCCATGCGCTTGCTCCTTGCAACTTGCAATGACTCTCATGACTCCATGCAATGACTCCTTGCAATGACTCCTTGCAATGACTCCTTGCAATGACTCCTTGCAATGACTCCTTGACTTTCATGAATGATTCCTTGCAATGACACCCTTGCAATGACTCCTTGCAATGACTCCTTGCAATGACTCCTTGCAATGACTCCTTGCAATGACTCCTTGCAATGACTCCTTGCAATGACTCCTTGCAATGACTCCTTGCAATGACTCCTTGCAATGACTCCTTGCAATGACTCCTTGCAATGACTCCTTGCAATGACTCCTTGCAATGACTCCTTGCAATGACTCCTTGCAATGACTCCTTGCAATGACTCCTTGCAATGACTCCTTGCAATGACTCCTTGCAATGACTGCCTTGCAATGACTCCTTGCAATGACTCCTTGCAATGAATGACTCCTTGCAATGACTCCTTGCAATGACTCCTTGCAATGACTTTCATGATGATGATTCCTTGCAATGACACCTTGTAATGACTCTCGTGAGAACAACTCAAGTGAACCCAGCGGAAGAACCCTTCGCCATGCTTTCGGGAAAAAGGAAGAATTCATGAAAGGGTTTAAGTTGGCGTATCACTTGATGACGGAAGACTTATTCAACCATGCCAAGATTTTGTACCTGGTGACACAGCCAATGTGGAGTTGGCACGCTAGACAAGTTGAGTCTGTAAAGACGCCAAATGATGGGCTGACCTATTTGATCTCACTGTCCTTCGACCGCCATAGAGTCGGATTCGCGATCGTAATCGGCCTGATCCATGTTGACATCCTTGGTTGCTTGAGCGTTGGATGCTGTAGGATCTTCATAGTTCATCTGCTCCGTGGGGATGTCATCAAGTTCTTCTTGTTCATCATGGACAGGAGAATCCCTCAGTGGTGATGCCCTTCTCTTTGATGCAGGCTTCGGAGTCGGTGACTTTGGAGGAGCCGGTCCGAACATATTGCTGAGAAACAGCATGTTGAGAAAGGTGTTGCACATGCAAGATCGAACTGGTCGGGGTATTGAAAACCAAATCGGCTGCGGAAGAATGGCTGAGTGCAAAAGATCAAAACGGCATTGAGGAATTGAAAAACCAACTAGACCACGGTTGGCCCGAAAGCATAACATCGCAAGCGAGGTCGGCCCAACGCTGCAGGATGCGTTCTTTTTCCCTACACGAAGCATTCGTGAAGCAAGCGCGAGACAGCACCAGGCAAGGTGCTCTGCGCAAACTGGTCGGTGCAAGTTGGTCTGCGCAAGTTGCTCTACGCAAGTTGCGCTGTGCAAGTTGCTCGGCGCAAGTTGCTCCGCGCAAGTTGCTCCGTGCAAGTTGGTCCCTGCAAGTGGCTCCCTGCAAGTTGCTCTGTGCAAATTGCTCCGTGCAAGTTGCTCCCTGCAAGTTGCTCTGTGCAAGCTGCTCTGTGCAAGTTGCTCTGTGCAAGTTGCTCTGCATAAGTTGCTCTGCGCAAGTTGCTCTAGGCAAGGCGCTCTGCGCAAACTGGTCGGTGCAAGTTGGTCTGCGCAAGTTGCTCTGTGCAACTTGCTCTGCGCTAGTTCCTCTGCGCAAGTTGCTTTATGCAAGTTGCATCTTCTTGCGACGCCCGCCCGCGGACCAGGGAGGAATCGAACCCGCGACCCGCCGGTCCCGGGAGCAGGCGCGCGAACCACGAGACAACTCCCGAGGACCAGTTCGAACAACAAAAGTCGCAAAAAAACCTCGAGTTTTTGCACCTCGACCACGCCGATCCCCGCAGAGGGTTGCGCGAGCACCGCAGAAATCGCAAAAAACCTCGAGTTTTTGCACCTCGACCACGCCGATCCCCGCAGAGGGTCGCGCGAGCAGGTTAAACATCGCAAAAAACCTCGAGATTTTTTTGACCTCGACCACGCCGATCCCCGCAGAGGGTCGCGCGTAGCACCGCCGACAAAAAACGCAAAAAACCCCTCGAGTTTTTTGATCCTCTGACCACTGCTGATCCCCGCAGGGAGTCGCGAAAAAACCCAGAACTTTAGAAATTCGCTAAAAAACCTCGAGTTTTTGCACCTCGACCACGCCGATCCGATCCCCGCAGAGGGTCGCGCGAGCACCGCAGAAATCGCAAAAAACCTCGAGTTTTTGCACCTCGACCACGCCGATCCCCGCAGAGGGTCGCGCGAGGGTCGAACGAAAGCTCTGGCAAGCAGAAGTTGTCTGGCCAGGAACAAGTATGCAGCGCAACTGGAGAGCTGGCTCCTCACACTGGGAAGCTTGTGTCATGAGTTTCCAGAAACGTGTCGAGCATCTGCTTCTTCTGCTCACAGAACCCTCCACTTCCAAAGCGCTTGTAGTTGATGGACAAATGTAAGCGGTGTGCAGTTGAGCACGAAGGAGCTGCCCATTGAAGGCCTGGTTGCTGGCAAGCTTGTAACCCTGACGACGCGGTGTATTTGGTCACACCGAGTATGGATCATGTGTTTTTTCGAAGCAAATGCCACCCCTGCCAGCCCCACAGCTCCCTGGCCCAGCACAAGGGCGCAATTCTGGAGGACTTTGGGCTGGACCAGAATGTGGATGATAATGCACTGTGGAACTTTGTCTTTTCAGAGATGTCGAGTGCCTCCAGGAAAAAGCAT